ATGTTGGATTCAATTGTGATGGATATAATCCCTCGCCGGTTTTAATATATGTGTAACATTAACGGTCTCTGCTGTTGAGGACCTAACAGTAAAAACTAGGAATCTAAAAATAGATTATTATAAAATTTTTAATAATCTATTTTTAGAATTCCTAGTTTTTACTTGGCGATACTATTTGAAACAACTTGAAAAAGATACCAAATACGTAAAGGTGAACTCAAAAGGATGAATGAAAACCGATAAATTAAAATAAAAAAAAGGAATTAATAGAGGCAAAATAAACTTGAAAAGTTAGGCTAAAAGATGTGAAGAATATTCGATCCAAAATGATAATCCAGAAAAAAGAATATACGTAATATGCCTTGTAGTGATGAACCTGGTAGTTTCAGCTAAGAAAGTAATTTATTAAGTAATCAATACGTATTTTTTATCTTTTAACTAATAATAAGTAATATTACTAATGTTAAGCAAATTCTTATTTACTATCACATGATGGTAACGGTAAGAAATGATTAATTAAAGCTGAGATTAAATAAACATGTAAATTTTTGTCGTTAAAAATAGAATTATCGTAGAATGACTTATTATTACTTAATGTTCAAAAAATTAGATAATTTTAAGTAATATTAAATAAGAATACATAATAAATTTGCCCATCTCTAGTTTCAGCACATGCCGTATGCCGAATTGGCAAAACTAGTTTGGGACTTATGCCGTAATTAAGTCCCAAATTAATCTAACACCGACAGAATTTCAAACCTCTGAAATACATAAATTTTTTTTTTTGTATTAAGTTATCCATAGGAGTGATGAATTTTTTATTTGATAGATAAGAATTTACCAATTAATTATATTATTGAATCCTTATTCGTCACGCAAATGATGATTTACATGACTCGAATAACTCGAATTTCGATTCGAAAAAATAACTCGTTTATATGATTCGAGTTGATTCAAAACTCTTCTGAGTTTAACTCGCGAGTCACGAGTTTTCACGAATCCAGTCTCTATATTACACTGCATAATTATTTTTATTTTTACCTTATTAAAAAATAATCCCAGACATGCGATAACGGATGTCCTCCTTTTTTAGATAATCAGTAGAATTCATCGAAGTCTCTGTAGAATCCATTAATATCATTATTGTGTATATTAATATAAAAGTAAAGTAATATTTAAAAAAATTTTTTTATTAATAATTAACTACATTAAGTTAACTACATTATTAGATTAAAATTTTGCACACTACGTACGTATTTTGAATTTTTGCATAATCATATGGGATCTTTGCTAGGATTTTTTTTCTAAAAATAGATTTAATATGTTTTTCTTAACAAAAATCTCGTGTAACAATGGCTTGTAGGGTCATTTTGCAGCAAAGATCTCATATAAGCTATTAACATATTCTGTCATTACTTATATTTGGGATTCTGCGGATTCGGCATATGTTTGGGATTTCGGCAAATGTTCAAAAACTGCAGAAATGCCGATATTTGCCGAAACTAGTTTGGGTCCCTTGTAACATTGGGGTGAGATCAGAATAGTGATCAGATTAGTGTGTGATAAGATTAGTGATCAGATCAAGATTATATCACTTTTAATATATATATATAGTAAAGAATGACTTGCGTGTTTTATATGTTTAAAGCGAATCGCTTTACTTTTTCGATTATATTTAATAAAAATTTTTTTTCTGTAGTTATCTTAATAGAGTTCAAACTGACATGAGGCCTGCATTGGCCTATGAATGTATTGTTTCCCCAAAAGGCGAAATAAATCCGAAATTCCCGAAATTTCCGAAATTCCGAAATGGGCGAAATGTCCGAAACCCGGCGAAACCGAAACGTCCGAAATCTAAATTAGAAATTTTTTTTTTTTTTTTTTTTGAAAAAAAAATATAGTAAAAAAGTCTTGGCCAAAGCTCTATTTGATTGGATGGTGTAAACAGGTTATACAACTTCCCCAAAAATTATCGGTAACATATTTCAACCAATAGAATTTTGCTCATGTATTAGCAAAATAAAAATTTTAAAACAGTAAAAATATCTTGAAAACTACTTGGCCAAATTTGATGATATTTTAATTCTACAGATTCGTAGAATTCAAATAAAAATAAATTCATCGAATTTGACTAGATATTTGTCGCACAAAGTTTTTAAAAAAAGTCTCAAAATATAAAGTCGTTTAAAATTTGAGCGAAAATATCTCAACATCTACTAGATTAAATTTTATTAAATTTTTTTTTTTTATTTGAATTTAAAACAGAATTAAAATAAATTTTTTTTTTTTTTATCGAATTTAGCCACATAGTTGTCGAGATCTCTTTGCTCAAAGTTATAAAAAACTCAAAAATGTTGTTACGGGGTAAATTGTAAGTTACCACCAAATGTTACGGGTAATTCGGTAAGTCACCACCAAATGTTACGGATAATTCGTACACTTTCTTTAAGCTCCTCGCCAGAGGCGTGACGTTGGTGATTTGGGGAAGGGGAATTCAATAATTATGATCAACCTTATGTGCCTCTACCTCGCACATAAGAGTCGTTACCAACCTCTAATGTTGTAACGTCCTTTAAATAGTTTTTAATTCTTATATGCGGGTTTTGCTATCGTAGAGGCTTTGGCAATTGATCGTCGCTTCTCAGAAATTCTTGACGATCTAATCCTGTTTCTGAAGGCGCAGTTTCATCAGCTTCATCACGTTTTGGGAAATGTCACTTTTACCCCGTGACAATGTCTTTCAAAATAGCTGCGCCAAAATTTTTAAAACTTAGAGCGGAGATATCTCGACAACTACCTGACCAAATTTATGATATATTTTTTTATTTGAATTCCAAGAACCTTTAGTCGAATTTTGGTAAAGTAGGTGTCAAAATATCTTACTCAAAACTTCAAAAAAAAAATTTTTTTTTGGCGTAACTTTACATTTTTGATAGACGGTTTTGAATTTTTTAAAAACTTTGAACAAAGATATCTCGATAACTACTTAAATTCTAGAATTTAAATAAAAAAATTTCATCGAATTTAGTCAAGATAACTTCGCTCAAATTAAAAAAATTTGTACAATATTTTGAGACCTTTAAATTTTTTTAAAATTTTGACAAAGATATATCGATAACTATTTGGCCAAATTCGATGAATTTTTTTTTTAATTTGAATTTTATGAATTTGTGAAAATTTCATCAAATAGTTGTCAAGACATTTTACTCAAAGTTTTAAAATTTTGTTTTGCTAATACATGCGTAAAATTCTATTTGGTTGAAATGTAGTATCACCGAGAATTTTTGGTGTCTTAGGGTTGTGGGACTAGTGATTGTACCTAGTGATCTAAATCGTTAGCTGAAAAACCAACTAGTTGACAACTTTCTAACTAATCGATTTGAAAAATTTTGAAACAACTAATCGATTAAATCATCAACTAGTTAAATTCCGAGATATTCCGTCTATTCGGGCTGGTTCATGTTGATTTCTTTAGTTAGATTGGCCAATCAACAAATTTAGTCACATGATAGGAAAATCGATTAGTTGCAACTATAGTTGGCAACTAATCGATTGGAAAAATTTTTACCCGGGTAAAGATTTTTGCTTGAATAACATAGTAATTCATCCGGGTCAACCCGGGTATTTAATAATACCCAGGTAGTGATTTTCTCAACGGGTACAATCTCTATGTGGGACCTGTTCACATCTTCCAATCAGACTGAGCTTTGGCCGAGACTCTTCACTCCGTTTCACTACTCTCCGAATATTTTTTTCAAAAAAAAAAATCAAATTTAGATTTTCGGTACGTCTAAAGCGAAGGTAATTAATTTAAAGTTAGGGCCATCTTAGGTTAGGGTTAGGTTATATTGGGTATGTTTATATATGTAAATTTGCCTTCAACTATTTTTTATTAATACTTCAAGGTGGGTTTATACTGTCGTTTTTAATATTTTCACATTTTTAACTTTCTTTTCTTGTTTTGATTTACTGAAATTTGATTGGCTGATTTCACATGATTTTAGACGTTTGGATGGGGTGCTGCATATCATATGATTAACTATCATAGTGCAGCGCTATATGTAATTTACACTATTATAAAAAATTCAGTATAGTAATTTACTATAAAAATCACATATCTTTAAAACGGTCCAACTCTTGCTCTAGTAAAGCCAATTCAATTCTGTAACTTGCAAATGATATATGAATAGTGTAGTTTTAAAACTATGGTAAGACATTTTTAAATTTATTTTAACAATATAGTTAAAAGATCAAATGTTTTTTTAGTCATGAATTTTAATAGTAAAATATTCACGATTTATAAGTTTATACTATAGAAGCCTGAAATATTTACATATAATTCTTAAATATCACAGCATAGTTTTATAACTATACTGTTCATATATCGTTTACAAGTTACAAAATTGAATTTGCTTTACTAGAGTAGGAGTTAGACCGTTTTGAAGATATATGAATTTTTATTATAATAATCTGGCACTAGTTTATTATAAAAATTGTAAAAAATCACATTTTCAAAACAGTCTAACTCCCACTCTAACAAAGCAAATTCAATTTTATAACTTGCAAATAATATGTAAATAATGTAGTTATAAAACTATATTGTGATATTTAAGAATTATATGTAAATATTTCAGGTTTCTATAGTATAAACTTATAAATCATAAATATTTTACTATTAAAATTCATGATCAAAAAAACATTTGATCTTTTAACTATATTATTAAAATAAATTTAAAAATATCATAATATAGTTTTAAAACTACACTATTCTAATATTATTTACAAGTTACAGAATTGAATTTGCTTCTCTAGAATATAAGTTAGAATATCTTAAAGATATATAATTTTTATAATAAATTACTATGATAAATTTTTTATAATAAAATAATTGACAAAAATTAAAAAATTTTAAATAGTATAAATTATATATAGTATTACACTATATTAGTTAATCTACATATATGAAATTTGTTTACCTTGTTTTGTAACTCTTTTGTTATATTAGAGGATCTGTGAGATAGAGTAAATTCAAATCACTACTTTTTCTAAAAATTTCTTTGATTTTTCTTTAAAAATCAAGTTTTCTTCTAGTTATTTTCATAGTTTTCTAAGTTTTTCTTTTTACTATATATAACTTTAAGTGTTCTTTCTTTTTGTTTATTGTCTTTTGTATTGTTTTTTAATATAGTTTTTTAGAAAAATATATTTTGCTTTAGCTCAAAAAATAGTTAAAATAATCTATAGAAAGAGTTATAAATAATTAGATATAGAAATAAATATATATTATAGTATTTATTTAATAGTAAACTATTTTTTTCTAATATATATTATGAATAAAGATAAAATTATAATTTATATTATAGTATTTATTTAATAGTAAAGTATTTTTTCTAATATATATTATGAATAAAGATAAAATTATAATTTATATAATATACTTAATAAAGATAAAGCTAGATTTATAACTATTTAATTTGAAAATTTATTTAAATAGGTTTAGTGATCTTAGTATAGTAGTTAGATTGTCAGACTGCTATGTAAGAGGTCTAAAATTCAAATTCTACTATCAATAAATTTGAATAATTACTTAGACTTTTGTATCTAACTTATAGTAAACTCTGTTTGTTTCTAGAAATTATAACTTTGTAAATCATGTTATACTAATATCAACTAGATATTAGAAGTATGATGTAATATTTGAGTTATATTGCATAAATAAATCTTGATAGGATCTACAAGCAGGGAATCTGCATAGTAAAAATCCTGAATTAGATGAAGTAGTATAGATTTTAACAGTTATACTAGTTAATACTTAATTCAGAAAAGAAGTCTATATATAAAAATTGCAGATTGAGCAGATGTGAGTAAGTTCACTATATAATACAATTTGGTGTCTTGCATTAGTAGTAATACTAACTTGGCTTAGTAGCTAACTAGATTTGAGAGAATCTAACTTGTAAAACTTCTGAATATATAGAGAACTAATCTGGTAGAAAGTTATAGTAAGAACTAGGTTCGTACAAATATCTATAAAAGTATATACTAGCTTAATTAGAATATAGCACAGTATAGTTGAGTATTCTGCAGGAGCATAGTAGACATTTAATTTAATTGGTTAAAAAATGTAAACAATATGCAATATGTAGATCAATATTTATAAACAAATTATATAATATAAATTATTATAAATAATTAAATATTTAATTTTATAAATTAAATATTTTTTTTATAATTAAAAAATTATTTATATTTTAAATAATTAAAT